CGGACTTGGCTTGCCCGACGTAAATTTACGTCGGGCCTTGCAATGGCCGACGTAAATTTACGTCGGACAAGCCATGTCCGACGTAAAATTATGGCATGCTTTTTGTCCCTTTTTACGTCGGGCTGGGATAATGTCCGACGTAAATTTACGTCGCGTTTTAGAGGCGACGTAAATTTACGTCTCCCGTATTAACGTCAGAACCTTTTTCGACGTAAAAGGCTCAAAATACCCGATGTAAAAGACCCTTTATGTACTAGTGTCCACAGTGTGACACCCTCTACCCCAACACAAATATACAATATATATAACACATAACATTCTGAATAAATGAAAACTTTCAGTTAAAATAGTTGTTTTAAATAAAAAAGGAATAAAAGGTTCACATCCATAATTCATAAGCCAAATCTCAAATGCGGAATTACAAAGAATTAAAGTCAAGTTTTCCAAAACGAACAAAAGACAATGATTTCCTAAAATTAATCCTAACTAAGTCCCGATGTTACATGTCCTATTAGAGCATACCCGATAATAATGTCTAAGCCTCATCACCAACATTCTTATGTTGATGATCAATTGCAACACAATAAGACACACATAGAGCAAATAGGGGAGTGAGAAACATCTCGCTTGGGTTCAGGTGTAAAAATAACAGTTAGACAACACACACACAAATTATAATAAGTACAGTCATAGCTACACATTAACTAGGTGCAAATCCAAGTTACATATACAATAGTAACACATACACAGTCATTCATCATGTAATGATGTCATGGACTCGACTCATAAATGCATGTATGTGGCGCCAGTCACATATCACATATCACATCACTGGTGTGCTGCCTAAACAACACACCTAAGGTAGTCTAGGAGTACATGTAGGGAGCTACCGATACACTCTCAACTAGAAAGATGTACTACTAGGGTCTGGTTAGGATAGCGAAGTTGTGCAAGTTATCTTTCGTGCTCACAAACAAGCAAAATCAAGACATCTAAATTGTACTATCCCTTAGGACTCCCCAAAGATGTTACGCCACGAAGGCCTTCCCTAACGGTGTACTTCACATCATACTTGCCACATAGATGAATATGATGCATGTCACATATTCACACTTCATTGACTCATCATTTCACTTGTCACATATTCTCATATCTCATATCACGTTATTTCATAGTATCATGTCATAAGTAACATGTTCATTTTTCACATTTTCACATCATATTTACATAATCTTATACAAAAGGAACTTCTCATAGTCATTTACATCAGAATAACACATAAACCATACTAGGAAATTATACAACATCATATACATTCAATTCGCAATTCATAACATACGAAGTATAAGAGTCTTCGACCCAACTTCATGATTTCACGCATTTTTTTTACAATCAACTAGTTAATATATTATTTCAATCAATTAAAACATTCCAAATATTACCCAAAACACAAATCCATCATCAATTTTTCATATAATGCCTCATAATTCATCTAAAGATTATATCCCTAATTTCACTTTATAGGATTTCTCACAGGAATCCATAGAGCACTCAATTCATAACAAAACTTGTCTATTGTCAAAATTTATCACATATTCACATTTAGCAACCATCAAGGAACACAATATAAAACTCAAACATGAAAACAGGAAACATTTGAAAAGTTCCTTTTCTAACACTACTAGAATTTCTCTTATTACATGCGACTATGAAAAATTTGCAGGAAATGTTGTTCCTGCAAATTTTTCTGCGAAATTTTATCTGCAGGTAATACCTTCGTTGATAATATTTTTTTGCGAATTTTAAAATTCGCAGTAAATTTTCCTGCGAAATTTCTTACGAAAAAAATCCGCAGGAAAGTTTCTTGCAAAAAAAATTTCGTAGGAAAATTCCCAGGAAAGTTTCCTACGAATTTTTTTGTAAGAAATTTTGCAGGAATATTTTTTACGAAAAAAATAAAGAAATTATTATAAATTCTATCAATAATTTTTCAACTTTCAAATGCTCACAATGAATTCATCCGAAGCATTTGTTTCCATGCCTCCAACATGTGATACATAATCTTTTAAATTCTAAGATTGTAGATTATAAGTCTAACACTCAACCATACAAATAAACTTGTAAGGTAAGTGTTGCCCCAACTTATATACTCTTTAATTGCTTTAGTTTCAATCGATGTGGGACTTGAAGTTTTTTTAAAATATTAAACTTATAAATTTAAATATATTTTTTTATTAATTTGCAGGAAAATCTGCAGGAAAAGTTACCTGCAAAATGTTTCTACCATTTAGTAAACATTACTTGCGAATTTATTTTGGCAAGAAAATCTGCAAGAAACAAAATAAAATTCTTACAATATTTTCTGCAAATTTTTACCATAGAAAAATTTTCTATGATTATTAAAATTGTAGCCAAATTTGTAAGAAATATCTGTAAATTATTTTTTGCAAATAAATTCGCAAAAAATTTCTGCGAATATTTTTTTGCAGGAAAATTTGCAAAAAAAATTTGCGAATATTTTTTTGCAAGAAAACTCGCAAAAAATTTCTGCGAATATTTTTTTGCAGGAAAATTTGCAAGAAAATGAAACTTTTCTAGTAGTGTAAGAGCATGCATCTGGCAAGGGATTGGGGCCAATCTCGCTACCAAACATATCCATTATTGAAATTGAATACATATCCACACTCAGAATCACACAAGGAATGCAACAGAACAATTAGAAAGCAAAATAGAAAACTTTTATAAAGTGCCTATTCCTGTATGCATCCATCAGGCAAGGGATTGGGGCCCAATCGTATGAGCCAACAATTACTCCCACTTCCCCAAGTGAGGTCTCTCACTCTCCCTTTACCTTGATGAGAATATGAAGATGCACAAGCAGAATCTGATCGGTTCTCTTCTTCAGGTTCCTCTTTTTTCTTTAGAGGCGTAAGAATGAATGAAGTCAGGAGAGTGATGGTTACATAGAAATGATGTAAAAATGACTTAACTCCTGATAATTTCCTTAACCCTTCCCCTCATTTAATAAAATAATTAATAATAATAAAAATTAGCAAAAGACTATTACGTCCTCCCTTTCCTTAAAATAAACATAAATATAATTAAAATATATCTCTTCCCTATTAGTGAAATAAAGCATCATTAAATAAAATACATTTCATAAAATTACCTTCATAATACTAATCAAAATAATAATCATAAAATCATGTATTGTGCATAAAATATAATTTATATAATAGGTTAAATATAATATTTAAAACTCTAAAATAAATATATCAAATATTAAAATAATTTCTAAAATACTATTTATTATAAATTATGAAATCTAGGGTGTTACACACATAGGTAGAAGCAGAATATCGTATCATTGGATCAACTACAACTGAAATTCTTTAGATCAAGGAACTGTTTTAGGAACTTTAGCTTCCTATTGTTGGTGCCACTCATGTATTCTGACAACATTGGAGCAACATTTCTTTTTGCCAACCTGGCGTTCCACTCATGGTTAAAGCATATTTCCAATGATTGTGACTTAATTACGAAGAAGGAACTTGTAATGTCTCATGTTCCTTCTAGCTATCAGCTTCCATACCTACTTATCAAACCCCTTGGTGCTACACAACATAAGTGTTTAATGTCCAAGATTAGTGTTGTCTCTTCCACCGTCTTGTGGAAGCATGTTTGGATAATTAATTTAGATATTGTGATTCAATTATTCAAATAATTTTAATTTATATCTTATCATTTTTTTTATATTTATCCTTTATTCATATATATATATATATATATATATATATTATACTGAAAAATATTTGAAATTAGAAAATTTTATTGTATTTTATTCTCTTTAATGGAAGATTCCAGATTGAAATATAAAATATGGCAAAATTTTAAAGATAGAAAAAGGAGATGCACACTATTCTTTCAATCCTATTTTACCTTTGTTTCATTTTTATATTTTTCTTTTTCTCCCAATAAACCCTAAGACAACAAACATGTATCCAAATCTTTGTGAATAATTTTCATTTCATCCAGATAAACAAGGACTTACTCGAATCAAATGACTTTTGCAACTGTGAAGGTACGAGCATCCAATTTTTAATAATTGGTGCTATTTATCCTTTCTTGAAAAGTACATAATGTAGTGAAATATTTGTATCTTGTAAGGTTGTCTAAATTTCTATTATTGTAATTAATTGCAGGGTTCAGGACATATAGTTTCTGAGTACACGCCTGAGGAAGGTTTTGCCATGTTCACAAGGTGGATAGCTAATTTACCATTGTAACTCAACAAATATATATGTTAGCAGAAACAAGGTTATCAATGTTATGCTCATTTCTCTATCGTATTTTTTGAATTATCAATGTTTAAAGATTCTGTATAATAAATGAGCAATGTGGTGGCAAATGATTGCACTGTCTCAAACATTTGATTTCTTTTTCATTTCTCTTAATCTGAATCTCCATGTTCTTTTCGAGAATGGTCGCAGCAGGAATATAATTCCTATTTTATGAGGAGAATGGGGAATATTTACAAGTTTAAATCATACTATATCATTACCAACTACAGAGAAGAAATACTAAAATATCCGGAAGGTATTCTTTTCCTTTTCAAAATCAGGACATAGATGAATGGAAGGAAGTGGTATTATCGTAATTTTCTTTTACATAGACTAGAAGGATCTTTTATTGGAGACAATTCTTTATAGTTGTTTAGGACTATCATAGTTGAATCAAAATTCAGTATATTCAATTATTAATAAAATTATATTAAATATGATTTTTGTTTTAGGGAACCAATTATTAAAAAGAAGAGTGTATTAGATTAAGGTTTTAAAAGATTTTTTATTATAAAAAAGTCATATAATATTTAATTAAGATGATTAAAAAAAAATTTAGGAGTACGTCAAAATTTGATTGTATTCAATTAAGTTTTTTTCATTTAAAAAAGGTTTGTTGGTATTGAAGGACATATAAATTTTAATGAATTATTTTGAAAGACGAATTTTGTATATTTTTTTAATAAAATTTATATATAATTGACTATATAACAATTTTACCTAAATTTTTTTGAGATTTTATATGACTTTATTTTCTGTTTGTCTCTCTTGTGTATCTCTTCTTTTTATTTTCTTGTCTTTTCTTTATCTATCAAATTAACGTATAGTTTAACAATAATTATTTGAATTGTTAAATATTTTTATAGATAAAATTAGAATCAATTATTTATTAAAAATTTGAAAATATTATATGAATTTTTTTTTATTTAATTCTTATCATTTATGTTTAATTGTATTTTTTTTAATTTTTATATTATTTTTTTAAAATTTTATAAAATTCATTCAAATTTTATAAATTCTTATGATATAAATTCATTAAAATTTATATTAAAAAATTTTGATTACAAAAGTTTTTTTAAAATTTTTTTTATAATTTTTTAAAAAAATTTATTATATTTTCACAATTTTTAAAAAAAATTTACAAGACTTTTTCTTATTAAAATAGTCTTATAAAATTTGAATCCAGTGCAGTCTTCCTCTACAAAGTTCTCATTTGCTCCAAAATTTATCTATTTATAAATACAATCTCTGAAACTCAGACCGTTATACTGCTATATCAGCACTATATTATGCTGCGATCTCAATATCTTAGTTAATTGATATTATTTACGCCACGTACACATTTTGGCATAGATATTTTTTTTCTTCTTATCACTTTTGCTAATAGGAGAAAACATAGACCCCAAAGAAAATATTTGCCTATGATTTGCTTATGACGCCATTTAGGTGCATGCGATCATGGTTGACAAATGATGTCAACTAAATAAAACTACATACACATTGCTGGTTTAAGGGTTTGTTTTAGCTGGATGGTAAAATGATACAATGGAGGTAGCTATATATGTCTTGTGTTAATTTAATTGAAAGAGACTACATGCTAAGTAAATGTTTCAAACGAATCACATCAACTCAATCTAGTCTAATTTATATGGGTCAAGTCTTATTTTACACTAATAAAAATACATTAAAAATTAAATTTATTTTTTTTACAATGAAGATAAAAATAAAAATTATAATATGATTAATTAATTGATCTTATATACTAATTACAAATGAGCAGTTAGACAGTTACAGTCATATACTCTTTGGTAATTACAATTGTCCATACATTAGAAGTCAAAAATATTATACTCGAAATAGTAGTTAACACATTCTTTAACTTTTCTTAATCAGTTAAAAATATATTATTACAATTAACTGTTGAAATGTTTCTAGAATTGGGTTTAAAATTAGGATTTAACACTTTAGCCATTGCCTAAACCCTTTCAAATTCAGCATAATTATATGGAAAGTCATGCTTGATAATACACATAGCAAGTGCATCTCTAGCTATAAGTCTTAGGATAAAATTTTCACTGCTTAAACAAACTAGCTTTCACTACAAAAAATATTACATATAGTAACATAAAAAATGTCACTATAAATACAATATATGTAGGTATAAATTTATTTAACATATAACTACACAATTTAAGTGTTGATTTTGCATGAGATTAACATATATTGTGTGCAACTATAGACTATACCTACACTTTTTAACAATATACCATATATTTTATCTATATATAGTGTAGGTAAAATTAGTTCTAAGTGACACATGGTGTCACTAGCTATAGGGTGTGTGTCACTATTAGATTAAAAGATGATTTTGGATTCCTCTTGATATAAGTTTTAATGATAACAAACTTAAATACACATTTTCAAGAGAAAATTTTTTCAGAACATAATATAAGGCGAATCATGATAAACGATTAGTTATATAGACAAGTCTCTCATACGAACTACTTTATCTGTAAGGAAAAAGCATTTAATATACATCATTTATGTTTGGTACTCGCATTAGAAAAGGAATACAGACATGTTTTGCATTAGATAAAGGACAACCAAATCCCTTAAAGCATTTGAAGTCTTAGAAAAAGTCATTTTTGACTTACACATGTAACAATTCCTTACGTTAGGTACATTAAAGGTGATAAATAGTTTCTTTGATTAGATAATAAGTGATAATTTGGGAAATATATTTAATGTTCACGTTTAATGCACCAAAGGACACTTGTTCCACAAGGAACGAAGATGAAGACAGATGAAGCAATTCTGTGAGATACTCAAGGATTTGCAATAGTTATCTTCATGAAGCAAATATATAAAGAAGCTTGAAGATTCAAAAAGATGAGTGAATCAATTAAAGGAGAATATCAATTGTAAAAATTTTATACTCATTCTTTTTGTAAAAAGCCTTGTACTCAAAACTGGTTGTATCACGTCTTGATAATAAGACGAAACACTAAAGTGATTTCTTAGTCTTAACTTTGTGTTATTGCTTCGAGCTTGAAAATTCTTGAATATAAAAGAATAGTTGATTATTGAGCCTGAAAAGGTTTAACTGTAAAAAATACTTGGTTATCAAAGCCTAGAGAGGATTTGTGTACAAAGAATACTTGGGTAGTTGCTTGAAAAGGAAAGTCAAAGAATACTTAGGTTGAGTTAGAAGTGACTTGTGAAAGAATATTTGTATCTTTATAAAAGATAGTGAAACTTGATCATGTTGATCAAGAATTAGACGTAGTCTCGGTGTTTGAGACGAACTAGTATAAAAACATTGTGTATTATTTTCTCTTAACTATTTTTCTACACTCATAAGACTTTGAATACTACTTCATTGTTTCACAAAAGTGTTTTTTGATTGACACTAGCTATTCAACCCCCTTCCAGTGTCTTTCTTTTCTCCACAATTCAACATCAAAGCTTAGTCTTTGACAAGGTTGAGCATCTAATTATGTTAAAGGAAAAGATCCTAAGATGGGAAGTAGTAAAGGTTAATACCTACCTAAATGAGCTTCTCTTACAAGGCCACCAACCTTTAGTGGAGAAGACTACTATTGAAAGGACAAGATGGAAATGTTCATCAAGTCCACCCAATATCATCTCTAGAAGATTGTCGTAAGTGGTGATGTTCTTGTAACCAAGGGAAAAAGTGAATACACGCAAGATGACTATAACATCTTATAGCTTAACATAAAGGCAAGATACATCTTGGCTTGCTCTTTGTTAAGAATGGAGTACAACAAGTTCTATAGCTGTAAGATTGCTAAGGAAATGTGGGAAGTCATCAGGATAACTCATGAGGGTAGGCATAAGAGTCAAATGAGCTACTACTCTTTAAAGACACTATGAGTTATTCTCCATGAAGGAGAAAGAAACCATTGATGAAGTGTTTGGAAGGTTCCAAACCATTCTCAATGGGCTAAAATCCTTGGGAGTTGAGTTCTCCAAAGCTCAAAAAAATCTCAAGATCTTGGATAGTCTTCCAAAGATCTAGGGACCAAAGGCCATCACTATATCAGATGCTCGTGACCTTAAAACTCTTACTTACACTAGATGAGCTCTTCGGTGCCCCGAGAGTTCATGAAGTCCATTTGAACAAAAGGGATCATCAAAAAATAAAAGATTTTTTTGTTTTAAGGACTAGTTAAACCAACAAGAAGAGGGATCAAGGCAAAGCTCTAAGAGTTGAGTCTGAGCACAAAAGCTCAGATGAAAGTTTTGAAAACTCCACAACTTTGAAGAAGCACGGGAGATGGAGTGCCTACAAAAGGAGATGTCAATAGATGATGAATGGATTCCTCCTATCTATGACTCCAACAAAAGATCTTTCTTATTCAACTTTTAGGAGTATGAAGGAATGCATCTCAGTAGCAAAATTGAGATGCAACTTGTTAGAAGAGAGATAAACCTAAATTTCCTTCCCTTGTTGGATGGTTAGACTCTATAGATTGCCAAGCAACAATGGGACAAAATGCAAAATTCACTTAACTCTAGAGTTGCTATTGAATTGAGCATAGAAGGCACTTCTCAGAACTTCCCTTTCGTGCTTGATGAGTTATAGACCATGGATGATTCAACCTTGGACAAAGTTAGAGCTGTCAAAACGAGCCACCCCGGCCCATGTGGGCCGGCCCACTTTGGCCCACCTTAAAAACGGGCCAACCCAACCCGGCCCGGCCCACCACGAGTTGGTGGGTCAAACAGGCCAGCCCACCAACCCACCAAAAAATTAAAAAAAAAAATTAGAAACAAAATTTAAAATTTCAAATAACATAATAGTCATAAAATTAACATTATTAATAGTCATAAGTCATAACTCATAATATAAAATTAAATACAAACCATGATAAAAGTCCAAAATAAAAAGTATCAATGTTCCATCATACAAAATTAACTACAAACATAATCGAAGTCCAACTCCAAAATAAAAAGTTTCAATGTCTCATCATACAAAATTAACTACAAACCATAATCAAACTCCAAACTTCAAAATAAAAAGCTTCAATATTTTATCATACGAAAGTCTTGCAAAATAAACTTAATTAGAATCTTGCACGGAAATGTCAATAACAATTTCTTCTCTTTGCACATCCATTTTATCTCCATCTACAAATAGGGAAAAAAAGTGTTAGGATGAGTTATTGTAAAAATAAATAAGAAAATTTTCATTATAAAAATTACCTAATTCTTCAAAACCATGTAACCAATTTTGAGTTAGAATGAGTAACTCTACATTTTCAGGAAGAATGGTAGAGCGATACTTAGTTAGCACTCGAGACCCAAGACTAAAAGCAGATTCACTAGCAACTGTAGTGATTGGAATACTCAGCACATCACAAGCCATCCGAGAGAGGTTTGGATAACGATCATGACGATCCCTCCAATAAGCTAACACATCTAACTTTTCATGAAACTTTGGATCAAGATTTCCTTCCTCCAAATATAGATCCAATTCAGATTTTCCATTAGCAGTAGCATTTTGGCTCAAATAATCAACATATTCCTAAGAGATTACAAAGAAAAATAAATTCAATATTCATTATTCAATGATAATTACTAAATAAAAATGAAATTAAATAAAGTACTTAAAAAAATTATTAACTTACATCAAAGGTATCAAGTACTTGCTCATCATCTGTATATGAAATTGGTTGTGGTGGAAGAAGAGACACATTAGAAGTTGAAGCATTTGACTCATTTGATTTTACTTTCTCATACTCTTCAAACAGTTCATAAATTTTCTTTCTTAAAACACTAATTTTCTCTTCAGAAGTTGAAGGCTTAATTTTTCTATAAGCAAACTGAATAGCTCCAAACTTCATTCGTGGGTCAAGAATAGCACCAATGGCAAGAATTTCACAATAATCATGCCAATACTTTGAAAACATAGTCATCATTTTTTAAGCCATCTCTTTAATGACTTGATCTTCACACATAACAAATTCACGCAACAATTTTTCAATTTTCCAAACTTGCGTAAAGTACCGATTAGATGTTGGATAAGTGGAGCATGATATCAAATTTTTCATGAAAAAAAAGGCTTCAAGAACTCGCACATTCTTGCAGCCCTATTCCACTCATCATCTGATGGGCAATGAACATAATTCCTATCTCGAATAGCCAAACAACCAAATGCACGTTTGTATTTAATTGCACTATCAAGCATAACATAAGTGGAATTCCATCTAGTGGGCACATCCATTCTCAAACCCACCTTAGTATCAATACCCCTCACTTGAAGCACACATTCTTTAAAAGCAATCTTTCTAGCTTTCGATCCTCTTACATATTTTATACTCTCTCTAATTGTTTTCAAAGCACCACTAGCCACCCCCAAACCCTCTTGAACAATGAGATTCGGTATAAGTGCACTACATCTCACATGAAAATATGAGCCATTACAAATCAAACTATTCTGCAAATTAAATTGTGCTTTCATGAAATTTACCATTGTGTCATTGGCACTTGCATTGTCCAAAGTTATGGAAAACACTTTCCTATCTATCCCGCAATCAAGCAAGATTTCAAAGATTTTTTTTGCCATTTCATGACCACCATGTGGAGGATCTAACTTAGAGAAGGCAAGAATCTTACTATTCAGTTTCCAATTAGAATCAACAAAATGAGCAGTTACACAAATGTATCCTTCCTGAGTTATGCATGTCCAACAGTCAGATGTTAAGCAAGTCCTACTATTAGCTTTATGCATTGCATTTTTCACCTTTACTTTTTCTTCATCATGAATCCCCCAAAGGTTAGAAACAACTGTATTCACTACTAGGAAATTACTGTTTAACGTCGCTACATTTACATCGATTCTTCGAGAACCGATGTAAAAAATATATGCGGTGGCAAACTTGTAAATTAGTAGAAACTGTAAGCACATTTACATCGGTTCTTGATAAAACCGATGTAAACATGAAGTATTCTACATCGGGTTTCCTTTTAACCGATGTAGAATAGTTAAGCAATTTATCTCCTTTTCGCGCGTGCTGTACAGTACCTTTAGCGCCTCTACAAACTTTCACACACGCTCATCTCCACTAGAAGCACAGTACCTTTAGGGTGGCGATGGTGCTTCACCTTCTTCCTTCCCCTCATCTCGTAATTCTTTTAGATCTATCTATGCTTCGAGAAACTCCCCTTTTCACTCTTCATCGTGCTTCGCTCGGCTTTATTTATTTATTATTTATTGCCTATTAGGTTACGAGTTCGCAAACCAAATTTCCTGCGTATTTACGTTTTTCACCGGGAATCGGATAAACCCTACCATCGGTGAGTGCCGCCGAACCACTTCCGCTTCCTGATCTGTAATGTAGGGTTTCAATTCCAAAAGGAAATTGTTCTTTTCTACTTCACTATTTTTTTTTACATTCTTAATAGCGTTGTTTAAACGAGCTGTTTGGTGCCTTTTGTCTGATTCTGGAGTTTGTTGCTGTGGTGCGTTTGAATCGGCGTCCACTCCAGGCTCCAGATGGTGAGAACCACTAGCACGATGATCTTTTGGAGCGTGTCGGCGGTGATGAAGCGCAAGTTCATTTGGTAGGGGTTGTTGGAGGCGATGAAGTGGAAGGAGAGGAGAGGGCCGCGAATAGGGCCACGAAATGGTTTATGCCTGAGCATTGGTCCGGCAAGAAAATTTTCCACCATTTCACCGAACCGTACGCCAGGATCATGGCCACGTAGAGTGCCACCATTGCGGTCATCACATGGTAGAAGTCGGTTAGTGTTATCATCTTTTGCTTTCAGACAAGTGTAGCATGCCTGGAGTGGGTGGGTACTGGGTAGTAATAGGACTAAGAGTATGAAATATATTTTCAGCTTTCAGCTTGCACTTGCAGTCCCCGAAGCAGAAGGGCTATTTTTATTTTCTTTTCCCAAAAATAAGGTTTGTTTTTTTTCCTATTTGGAGGGGGTGCGCTCCTATTTGTATAACAAAACTTGGTTGGGGGATGAGCCTTGATCTATGGGACTGTCACAAAAGCCATAGAAAAAGTAATTTGGGTTGCCTCTACCTTTGCCTCTGCCTGTGTCTCCAACTACTTGTTTTGGAGACAACTCTTTAGCCTTTGCCAACACCATCTCCCTCTTCCCCCTTTTTTAGCCCTTTCTCTTTGGATCCCACTGTTTCTCCTCTACTCTACTTTTCTACAATTCATTCTTCAAATTCCTATATTACAATTAAAGGTTATACCTATAGGAATAATTATATACAAATACTTTGTTAAAAATATGTGCTTTCAAATTTTTAAATTCAATTATCTAAAAATATTGTTTAAATAGAACACAATACTTTTTATTAGAATGTTATCATAGTCAAATGCTAGATAAATTTAACAAATAAATATTAATTGGAATGTTATTCATGTAAACATGTTAAATCAATGTATGTGAATTTTTTAATGATATGTTTGTGCTTCCTTCTACTTGTGTTAAAGAAAAAAAAAGTTTTTTTTTTCACCAAAAGGCAATGTATATTACAAAGTTGATTCTCGCCTTTTTTTTATCCACTTGATTTTGAAAAATCAATCTTTTAGTAATTGAACAAAATGCAAGTTAAGTAGCAAATTATGGATATACAGAAGTAGGAGAGAATAAAAATTGGAAATAAGAGTTGAGTGGGGATGTGGACAAAGTAATGTTTAGATGAATTGAGTCGAGGCGGTAGGATATAATAGTAATAATCTAAACCATAATTTTCTTTGTAGGACATTGAGAAGCAACATATCCTCTTCCAACACAATTGAAGCACTTAATTTCACTTGACTTAGATTCTTTGGAAGGTGCTTTGAAAGATGATTTTTCTTTTTCTTTTTCCTTTTCTTCTTTGGGGTAAGGTTGGGAAGAGTGGCCTTCCTTCTTGAAACTCTTGGGATAAGAGGGAGTGGAGTCTTTTCAAAATGTTTTTCTTTTTAATTAATGCTCCACGCTTGAGCAAAGTTGAACAAGTTCATTCAAATCCTTATAAGGAAAAATTTCAACTTTGTCTCTTATCTCTAGATTAAGACCACTTTGAAATCTAGAGATTGTGGTCCTCTCTTCCTCCCTAATCCCAGCCCTCATCATTAGCAACTCCATAGTTTGCCTATATTCTTCCGCACTAGATGACCCTTGTTTTAATCTTTGAAGTTTATCCATAAGTTCTCGGTCATAGTATGGAGGAATATGCCTCCTTCTTAAGGCACTACGGAGCTCATTCCAATATTGGATTGGGGGCTCATGATTTATTCTCCTTTCTTTTTCTAAGGAGGTCCACCAATACATAGCATGCCCTTGGAAGCTAAGGGTTGCTAAAGAAACCTTCCTATCTTCACT